TAAAAAAAAATATATATATATATATATATATATATATATATATATATATATATATATATATATATATATATATATATATATATATATATTAAACAATTATTGAATGAGGTCGAGTAGGATATGAGGAATTATTAAGGCAGAGGTTTGTGTTATCTGCCGAAGGCTGAGGCAGATAAAACAAACCTCTGCCTTAATAATTCCTCATATCCTACGAGAACCGAATTCAATAATTGTTTTATTATTTATTTGTATATATATATCGGACTTAGGGTAAACGCTTGCATTGTAAACAAGAACACGCAAGCTACTGAAAATGGAACAATAATATAGTGTTCGCAAGACTGAATAAGCCAATCAGACTAGGAAAGAATATTTTTAAAACTGTTGTCATATTACAAAATCAAACAAATTAATTCAAACAAGTTTATTTCAACTGAATATAAGCGTTTAAAAGAATGCTACAGATTTTACTGACCCCATTTACACTTGAAGTATACAGAATATTTAGATAAAAATACAAATTATCGAGAAAATATACGGAATATTTATATAAAAATACAAATTATCGAGAAAATATACAGAATATTTATATAAAAATACAAATTATCGAGAAAATATACGGAATATTTGTATAAAAACACAAATGATCGAGAAAACAAGTGTTCTTCAACTGTTCTAACACGAATTTAAATATTACCTTTAACATTTATACACATTTTACTCGTGAAAGTGAATTTGACAGTTGTAAGAATTATACAGCGAATTTTTTGTGTATTCTGACTCATCTTTTTTTCCTCACTTCGATCAGCATAAAAGCTTTTGAGAACCGAAGCAAGTTCTTCGCTATTCTCTGGATGGCCAAGCTTCTTTTCTCGTAGATACTCTTCAAAAATCGCTTTGCTTGCTTTTGTAGCTTTTTTGTGTTTACTGAGTCTTTTTCTTCCAACAATTTTTTGATTTCAGCTTCCCCAAGGTCGGCGAACCTTTCCTTTGAGGAAGCCATTTGTATTTTCCCGCTTTTGGCATATAAGCAGCATAAATTAGTGTGACGTCATAATGTCGTATATGTGTTTTCAATATACGACCAAAATTACGTCATAATGTCGTATATGTGTTTTCAATATTCAATGGTGATGTCACAACTCCAAATTTGGGCAACTACCGAACGGATATGACGATTTCATCCACAGCTCTTAACCAATCAAAACTCTTGAATTACTTTCAACAAATTATATATATATATATATATATATATATATATATATATATATATATATATATATATATATATATATATATATATATATATATATATATATATAGTATGGATATGGTCTGGCTTTCCAACGTAGAAGTCACTTGTCTGGAGGATCCAAAGGATACACGACGCTTAAAATATTATCGATAGGTATACAGAAGGAAATGCGAACTCCAGACAGATCAATAATAATGTTTTATTACAAACGTTTCGCCAAAACAGGCTTCATCAGTGTAAAAAGTTAAAAACACAAGGAAGTTAACTCATGCGATTTATAACCTAACCTATGAATAATTAAGAACTAATTAAGGACTAAATGAGAATACTCTAGGGATGTTTAAAAATATGGCCTATTATTGCGAAATATTTAAATTGTTTCTAATTACTAAAGTTTATTCTGTTCTTCGACCTGAATTCACATCTCTTATTGAGACCGTAAGGTTTTAAAGTGCATAACTGCGCACTCCAGTATGCTTCTCTTGTCAACAATCGCTTCTCAATAGTGTTTAAATCACTGTCATTAACTATCTGTTCTATGCCTATAAACTTGAAGTCCGACAAATCATGTGGTGTTTTGTTGAAATGCGTCGCTACTTCGCATGTCCTTTTATTGTTAATCATCGTGGACTTGTGATTACGAAAGCGGACCTTCAGTTCTGTGCTCGTGGATCCAATGTATTGCCGTGAGCACTTAATACATGTAACTAGGTACACAACATTTTGAGAATTGCAACAAATGTTCTGTTTAATTGGGTACTTTACCCCCGTCTGACTACTGACAAATGTACTAGACTCATGCATGTAGTTGTTGCAAAAGTCACACTTCTTTCCACATTTATAACACCCTTTTGGACTTTGATCCCCGCTCGTTTCCTGCCGTCGTTTCGTAGAAAGAATTTCTTTGATAGTTTTTGGCCTTCTGAAGGATGGTATTATAGATCTAGGTGGAAAAATCTCTTGTAACTCTGATGAATCTTGGATAAGGTGAAAATGTTTCTGCAGGATTTTTCCTATATCGGGAAGCCTGGGGTTGAAGTCGACAACCAACGGAAATAAAATTCTCTTCTCTCTCTTGGTATGTTGCAGTAGTTCCTCTCTGGGAATTGACTTCGCTTTGTTGAATTGCTTGTGTACATTATTCGGATGGTATCCTCTCCTTGTTAGGTACTTTTGATATTCTTTGCTGCGTTTATCAAAATCTTCTTCTGTTGAGCAATTTCTTCTTAATCTCGTAGCTACTCCAAAGGGAATTGCCTTGATGCAATGATCTGGGTGTGCACTCTTTCGTTGTAAGTAGAGATGATTATCGGTGGGTTTTGAGTATACGTCTGTCCGAATGAGACCATCAACTAGCGTGAGGGTAAGATCTAAAACATTTAGTGATATTTCCGAGTAAACCAGCGTAAATTTAATTGTGGGGTATAACGAGTTGATAAAGTCAGTAAATTCGAGAAGTTTGGCAGTACCCTGTGTCCAGAGATCGAAAATATCGTCCCGGTAACGCCACCATAAATTAGGTTTAATTTCACCGGATTTCGCTCCTTCATCGATAATGCCCATCGCGAGATCCGCGTAGCTACACGCGTTCTTCGGGCCCATGGCTGTTCCGTGAATCTGCAAATAATGCTCTTCCCCAAAGCTAGAGTTGTTATGTGCAAGACAAATTTTAACAGCTTCGACGATGCATTCAGTTGATGGAAATTGATTTAGGCGAGAGTTCAATGCTTGTGTTACTGCTAGAAGACCCAAGTCATTGTCGATATTCGGGAACATGCGACCACATCCCAGGAAACTAACAGTGTTCCATCTGGAAATGGACCCGTGTCATTCAATTCGGATATTCTTTGAAGTAAGTGCGTGGTATCTTTAATAAAGGATGGGAGGGCCTGGAAAAGAGGTTTAAGATAGAAGTCTGTAAAGGCTGAGAGGTTCTCTATAGCTGTGCCACGGCATGACGTGATCAGTCGTAGAGGATTTCCTTCTTTATGCGTTTTAACAGTCCCAAACGCTTTACCGGGTTAGTTTTTAATTTAAATATTTCGCAATAATAGGCCACATTTTTAACATCCCTAGAGTATTCTCATTTAGTCCTTAATTAGTTCTTAATTATTCATAGGTTAGGTTGTAAATCGCATGAGTTAACTTCCTTGTGTTTTTAACTTTTTACACTGATGAAGCCTGTTTTGGCGAAACGTTTGTAATAAAACATTATTATTGATCTGTCTGGAGTTCGCATTTCCTTCTGTATACCTATCTATAATATTTTAAGCTTCGTGTATCCTCTGGATCCTCCAGACCAGTGACTTCTACGTTGGCAAGCCAGACTATATCCATACCATATATATATATATATATATAATATTAACAGTCTTGTTTTTCGTTATAGATAAAAGAGTGCTCAATACTATCAATACTACAAATATTTAGCAGAGCGAATTAATTTTTTATCTTAAAATGTTTCAATTTCTCGCTACTTTAAGTTTCATGTCACTATTTGTGACAATCATCAGGCAATTAAATTCACTAATTCAGTTCGTTATAATGGCGTGATCTATACTTTGCTGATGTGCACTGTCATTATTCGCACGCGCGTTCAAAATTTCCCGCCCAAAATTTCCCGCGATGGCGGCATTTTGCGAATATCTCGAATCTTTTGTTTAATGTTATGTGTTTGTCTGCATCCATTAAGCCCGCCGCACACGAGAGCAACTCGTTGAGCTAACTACCTCGCGACGTAGCTAGCTCAGCTATGTATTTTCACCGCACACGTTGGGAAAACTATTCAACAACAACATAATTGACAAAATCATTTGCATTTTCCTCCAATTTGTTCCAAGTCACATGAAGTAACCATGGTTTGTCATTGGCTAATTGATTCAAACGGCTCAGCCCTTAGCTCACAACATCCCCAGACGCTGAGATTTTTCCTCGAGAGGTCAAATCCTTACGAAAACAATCTAACTGTCTCGCGAGGCAGTTAGCTCAGCAAGTTGCTTTCGTGTGCGGCGGGCTTTATGCAGAGTTTTCCCTCTGTGCAGAGATTGCAACGCTTTGCACCGAATGAGTATGCGCCTGCCCGCTTCAGAATTGACTATTTTAGGATGTAATCCCTATCATTACTTTTTAGCTCCCAGATGTACTTTGACAGTTCTGTATCGTTTTTATATTTGTGAAATTTGAAGGATTTTTTATGATTTGCATATCTTTCCTTGAAAGTAGTCGCTGTCATTCCAATATACTCTTTTGTGACTCCGTCGTCGGGTGATGTAACTTGGGCCTTGTAAATAATGTTTTTAGATTTACAGTTCTTGTTAAGGTTACAGGACACTATTTTTGGCGTTTTGCGGAAAATCGCGCTACTGCGCGCTCAATATCAGTCCTATTTGAACAACATTTTCACCAAATGTTCGCCAGTGTGTGCAAAATATGGTAAAGTTGTAAAATTAACAAACAATAAAATAGTATAAGAATTATTCAGGAAAATCTTAAATCGCGGTACCGTTACGCTTTTGAGTTGTGCTCCTGCTGGTTTTAAGTTATATTTATGAAAATATAATTTTTATACAGTAACATAGTTGTTGCTTGTGATGTTACTCTCAGTGTGTATCTACACCGGGCAGGCTTGAAAAATATACCTGGCAACGGTCGGATTCGAACCTACGAGCTTTGGTATAATCAAGCTTGCCTACGATCTTTGGAAGAATGCTAAGAACCTACGACCAAACCAAGAACATACGACCTATTGAACCTACGACAACGTTTGATCCAGGCTTTACATGAGCTTTTATACCAGAAGAATCCTAAGAACCTACGACCAATCTAAGAACCTACGACCTAATCCAAGAACCTACGACCTAATCCAAGAACCTACGACCTTTGGAAGAATCAAGCCTGCCCGGTGTGGATACACACTCAGAGTAACATCACAAGCATCTTATTCACCTGAATACACTACATCAACAAAACAAATATCATAGTAAAAGAGCTGTTCTAAAAAATTGTGTTCGGAAATTTTTGTTTATTTCGTCATTCCGCTGATATGGCGATTTCTTTGACGACTGCAATATATTTCTGTATTGTTGAATGAACTGGTCTTTATTATTAAAATATCTTAAATTTAAAAAAAGCCGAAAACTGTTTTGAAACTGAGGTCTTTAGTTATGTCCTGTGAAAATTTGAGAAAAATTGGTCAAAACCCGGTCGTCTTTCAAGGACGAGAGTAAACACGTACGACTTGCATATCTTTGACCAAACGGTCGAAAGTAGAAAATTTATCTCGAAAACATTCTTAAAAAAGATTCGAAACAACGAGAACTATATTTATCTGCAAAACTGTTTTTCAAAAACAGGGGGGGGGGAAACTGCCGTGGGCTCAGAATTGAGCCTGGTTAGTGGTAACTACCATGGGAATAAAGTAAGTGTTGTCATGGAAATGGCGTCATTTTTCCTGAAAATCCGCCATGTTTTTGGCGACACTTCGTTCACTGAACGAAGTATAGGAGCAGGTCCTCCAGTTATTATACAAGAGAACTTGATCATTATATTAGATGGCATAAGATTATTATGTTCATATATTGTATATATTGTTATATTATGTTATTAAAAAACTACAATATCCTTTCTGATTTCAAATTCTCGCATGAATATAACTTTACTTTCCCCTTTACTTAAATATTTTAATATACAAAAGAAGGGTAATTAATTAATAAAAATGCACTGAAATTATATGCTGTCTATTTTCACTTATATACGCAACGATCGTATCAGTTTTTATAGCAATTATAAAGCAAACAATACATCAATATCAAAAACAACTTTGCTCTATTCTTTAAATGGTTTTAGACGTTTTTTGCCTCTCAGAAAAGTTTTCAAATTTTAATTCAAAATCTTGCAAAAACACAACTTGCAAGAAATGTTTGTTATTTTGCTGTCGTCATGGAGTCGTTATAATGCAAATTTCAAATTTGACCAATCAGTGTTCACTATTCACGACAGTCCACTACATATTTTGAGATCAGTGAGGATGACCACCAATGAACGGTGAGCCAAGCACCCGCGATATTTGATGAACTTTAGACTTCGCTAGTGCGTTCCTTTCCCCGGGTGTAAATGGCTGGGCGAAATTAGTACCCCCGCCCCCGGCTTACGCCCGGAACGGCGCTCCACGCCGTTGGTTCGGGGGGAAAATACATCGAATGTTTTTAATATTTATCACAAGATATCATGCCAAAGTTAGATCAACTTCTTTGATTACTTCCTGTGTATTAAACATTCCTATGTTTATTTTTTCTAGGAACTAGTTTTTCCCCAGCAGTCAGTGTGTGTCCCACCAGAACAATCACCCCCAATGCTATTGGTCGTGTCCACTCGCCTGGATACGCTGGTTCCTATGACGCCAAACTGAACTGTACTCTTACCCTGAATGTGCCTTCAAACAAAGCAGTTAAAGTTTTCTACGACTATGTTGATATTGGATGTAAGTGTAACAGTAACAATATATAACATTGACAATACACTTTAAAAAACACTTTGGTTAAAATTTCCTTGTTAGTATAGGTAATAGTATGGTTTCGAGTGCAATTTGGATATAACATGCACGAGTGAGTTTTTCAAAGACCTCAAAATAACACGAGTCCGAAGGACGAGTGCTATTTGAGGTCTTTGAAAAACTCACGAGTGCATGGTTATCCAAATTTCACGAGAAACCATGCTATTACTTATTAATAATTTACATAAAAATGTTCGAGACAATTGTAGTTTTAACTTACGCGTTTAGAGCGAACACTCCACTGGTAAAGTTTTCCTGGCTTTGTTATATCACATTATGCAACGCTAACAGCTTGAAAATTCCATCTAACTATGTAATTTTTGTTAGTCTTGTTTAAGGTAATTGCTTTTCCATTTAAAAATAAAGATAGAAGCTATATTTTCCACGCGAAGGCAACTTTTACTTTGTGTAGCTCGGCGCCATGTTTGTTTTGTTTGGAAGCAATCTGTGACCGTTACTTCTTTAAACTATAAATTTCTTTAAACTGATTGGTTGATTTAATCATCACAATGTTTTTCCACCAATCAGATCAGTTTGTTACAGATTTTTGCACTGTGATTACAGAAAATTGCACTGTGATTACAAAAAATTGAACTGTGATTACAGAAAATTGCACTGTGATTACAGAAAATTGCACTGCTGTTTGGGATTAACTGCACTGAAATCAACCAATCACAGTCGAGTAATATCTTTATGTATATTATTAACCAAGAAATAACTCTTTTTAGGTTAATTAATATTCCTGGCTAAATTTCTTGGTTATTTCGACCTTAATTTTCCTATAATCCGGTTAATTTGACCAATAATTACTGCATGATTAAAGTAAGTAGACCATGCTAGGCGGATAAATAACAACCTCGATCCCACTGTTCTCGGGTGTGAAGGTTCTGATGCACGCGTTGGGACCCTGGCAAACTCTGATCCCGCGACGTCAAAAATCTTGAAGATTACGTAATTTGTAAATTTATGATCCGGGGGGCGATGGTTACTGTCTGAATCGAAATGAAATCGGTCGATAACTTATTTTGGACACTGCTGGCAGCACTGAAAT